AAAAAAAAAAAAAAAGAGAGAGAGAGAGACAGTGAGGCAGATGCTAGAATCCAAGGACTGAGGGCGAGTCCCCAGGGGTCTCCAGCCAAGAAGGGTCAGCCTCAGGTGGCAGAATATATAAAGACATGAGGTTCAAAGGAGCCCAGTGTTCTTAAGGAGTTTGGAGGGACAACCTTGAAGCAGTGACAGTAGAGGAACATCCTGCCCACCTTCAGTCTCCGTGGACTATGGAACATGAGGGAGAAAACCGTTCCCAGTTGAGAGTGTGTCTGAGGGCCTTGTCCTTAGGGGACAGCCAGTTTGTGATTAGCATAAAAAAGTTGAAGGGAATGTTCAGAGAAGGGGACTGAACATTTCCCTTTTTTATGGATGTATATATTTTGTTTACATATGTATGTATTAAAATTGATCTGCAGGTTTATATTTTATGTTTCCAAATCCCAAAGACAAATAAAGATCACGTTTATAAAGATACTGATAATAAGCAGTTTTGCTGACAACTATCTGAATTTCAGCTAGAAAATATTTGGAAGGTTGGAGAGGGTTGACTGGATTAGAATAAGAGCTGGACAGAGTCATATAGGGATTGTGTAAGTGTTTGACACCAGTAAATAGTGGCTGTTAATAGTGTTCTGGTGAGGCTCAAAGCTGACAAAGCCAGAGATCAGTTGGGTATGAACTATGATGAAATATTGGTTTTCATTCATTCATTCAACGCTTTCTTCATTCATTGTGAGACTTAGTCATCAAAGCTTCCAGGTAAGAGTAATGGGGATAGGAAAGAACCTGATCCTGGGCGAGGTTTTTCCCTAGGAAAGGCCTGGAGGGCAGTATCTTCTTGTAATTTCCACATTAACAATGAGATTAGCCTCTTTTCCTTAGGCTCTGTGTCTTCTCAGATTTTAGCACTAGGATTTCATCAGCTGCCCCCAGGCCTTGAAAGTGGCTCATCAGGCCAGAGAATGACTAAACCACCCTTGGCTGTTCTCTTTCCAATGTTGGGCCCACCCCCAGGCCTGGGCCAGATTTGGGTGACTCACATTGCCTGCCCTCAGGGTGCCTAGGAACTGTGTTGTGGGACTAGGAATGGGTTGACCTCTGTGGGAAGAGGTTATTTCATCAGCAATGGAGAGGGGGATTGGGTTTGGTAAACTTCCATCCCTAAGACTTATGAGAAGTCTAAAGGTATAGTTCTTCTGAGATAAGGATGTTTTCTCTAGGTCTTATTAAGAGAGGAGGGTGAGCAGTGGCCCTTCCAGAGCAGGTTCATCATTACTTGTTGCACAACTGAGTACAAGACCTTCCACAGTCACAGAGCATCAGAGGGTAGAGATTGGAAGAGGGTACCAAGCCCTGGGAAGGTGCAGTAAAGGTTTGAGAAGAGCCCTGCCCTAGCAGCCACCTGGGCTGCCCAACCAGTCACATTTCCATCTGTTTCCTTTTAGTCCTGGACGCACAATATTCAGCGAGAGAAAGAGTTTCTGCGGAAGCTTGTGAAAGCACGTGTGATCACTGACCTAACCAGTGGCATCTGAGGTGGGCCCCGCACAAGGCCACAGAGGCCCCGGCCCCACCAGGAACAAGCAACAGTCACCGCCATCCGCCCACTTCATTGGCCTCGGTCTGGCTCTGCCTGAGAGGCGCAGGAGCCTTCAGACCCAGAAAAGGACAATGCCAGGTGGCCCCAGGGGTGGCAAGGCCTTGGCAGGACAGCCAGAGTACCTGCTGGAGGCCTGCCTCAGAGACCAGCACTCAACCTCACTCTCAGTCTGGATCCTTAAACCCAGAGGGCCAGGAAGCAGCTGGCTGTGCCTAGCGCGTCCAGCGTGTAGGAGGTGGGACACGAGGCAGCAGGGCTGCTGCCAGAATCATTTCTCCAATCAGTGTTTGGTGTATTATCATTTTGTGAATTTGGGGGGGCAGGGAGGGGAGGGATAATTTATTTTTAAATAAGGTTGAAGATGTCTAATTTGGTCCACTTGCCATGCAGAAAGAGGCCCACTAGAGAGCCCATCAGACAATGGTAATGATCAGTGGACTCCCCATAGTGTGGGAGTGCCATGACTGGCCTGTACCCTCCTTCAGGGCTACAGGGAATTGGGCAGGAGTTCATGCCAACCTCCTCCAGCTCCATTGACACTGTTTGGCCTTTCTTGGGGAGGAGATGGAGTGTTCCCACTCACCAGCCTCTAGCTTCTCCACAGGAATCATCCCTTCTGAGCCAACAACAAGATAGCCCATGGGCTAGAGCAGAGAGGATGTCAGAGCTCAGTAGGAGTGGCCTGGCCCAGCCCAATGGGAAGGGCCTCCCTCCCTAGCTGCAGCTGATCCCTAGGACAGTGCCTCAGGTCTGGACTGATCAACTTGTCAGCTGCTCTGGGTTTCAGCAATGAGACTGCCAGGTCCTTGGGTTCTGCCTTTAGCCTGGACTAGAGGGAAGCGAGGCTCAAGGACCTTGCCTAGGCTGTGGCAGCCATTGTAGGCAGCATCATGGAAGCAATAAAGCTCTTCCCTGAACCTGGTTGCCTCTCTGCTTTCTCCGGCTTTCCTAAAAGAGACAGGAACCATTGCCTCGGCAGCTGACCCATCTCTCCAGCCCACAGATTGCTGGGTCCCTTTCACTTTTCATATCAACTGTAGAGCCTGGGTATCTACCTAGGGACTTCTGGAGCCTCTCTTGTCCATGCAATCCTCTGTCCTCTTTGCCATAAGAAACACAGACCAGGAGTACCAGAGCATGACCCGGAGTCCACTCAGGTGCCTCGTAGAAGAGCCAGAAGACAGAGGATTGGAGCTTGCAGCTCTAGGACAATGCCTGTGGGTCACCACAGCTCCACACAACACAGAAGAGAAACACTGTCAAGCCCAGAGAGGCCCACAGACTCCCCCACCAGCACCTCTGGCTCAGCTTCAGGAAAGACATGCCCCATGTCCTCTCCCTGCACCCCCCCGTCCCCAACAGAACAGGAAGGCATCTTTTGGTGAACTTTAGAAAAGGCACTCCCTCCACGCGCACACCTCGCTCATTTAGACCTGTAGCATCTGATCCCTCCCCAGCATCCCCAGGCAGGCCTGAGAATGGGGCAAACACATGCCTGACCATTAGGCCATGGAGAGCCCTTCCTATCAGACATGACCACTGTGGCAGTAAGTGGGGTTGGCTGGCCCTTTCACCTCTCGCCCTGCCTCAATCCAAGAGGTCATGCAGCCCTAGGCCCTCCCACAGGTGAACCCCAAGGACACAAGAGTCCTGGCCATCTGAAGGCCCTGCCTCCTCTTAACTGCTACAAACTGTCCTCAGGCAGAACCTCCTCAGTTGAGGGGGAAAGCAAGGCCCTGCCTCCACCAAGCCCTGGCTGAGGGACAGGCAAACCCAGAAACTCTGTCCTGCTCCAACACACATCACATTCTATGTGAACAGCACCCCCTGGAGTTGTACACCTGTAATCAGCAGCTCTGGCTAAAAAAGTCCCAGAGAAGCCACCTCAATTGGGCAGCCAGTTGTGGGAGGCAGCAGATAATGGAGCTGCTCAATGACCCTGACCTCCTGTCCCACAGGGGTCCTGTCAAGCTTGGGGTCAGCCAACACCACCACCATTTCTCTCTATTCAGTCCTCTGCAGTCTGGCTTCTAGCCTCCCATTCTCCACACCCTACTCCTGCACACACCCCTGCTGGGCACTATTCTCCAGAAGCTGTGGTTCTTGGCCTGGCTGTACACCAGAATCACCTGTACAGATTTGGGAAACTACACATGTTCACCCTGAGATTCTGATTCAGGTCTGGGGTGGGGCCCGGATGTGGGTAGTTTTAAAAGGTCCACAGGTGGTTCTGATGCATAGGCAGGGTACAGCTGGTCCGCACACGTTCCCTGAGCACTCATCCCCACCCACGGCTTCCAATTGTCAGACCACAATTCCCAAACTGCCATCTCCAGCCCACCTCTCTCCACTTGCCCCAGGCCTACAAATCCGGCCACTGCTTGAACATTTCCACTAGGATAATCCACCGGCCCAAGGCCCAACTCTCAGCATGGCCAACTCTGCAACCCTTGGAGTGCATCCCTTTCCACCTGGTCACCCTAGTCAAAGACTTGAAGAGTCCTTCCTGCTTCCTCACCCCATCCAATCATGCACCAACTGAGTTTTTCAGAAGGGTGAGGTCCTGAAAGGGCCCTTGCAGCCGGACACTCGCCACATCCTGCTTCAGACCTCACATTCTCTGGTGGCAGCCTCCCGTCTCTTCACCTCTCATTGGTCCTGCCTGCCCCCAAACCATCCTCCCACTACAGCAGTCACCCCACTAAAATGCATGATCACAACATTCTTCTACTTCAAACCATTCAGTGGTCACCAGTGTCCTTGGGAGAAAGTCTAGATACACAGGATTTGGACTTTCCGTGCCCCACCCCCACCTGCCAAATTGCCACTATTCAGCTTCTGAAATGCTACCCTGCAGCTCCTACTTCAAGCCTCAGCTCAAATGTCCCTCCTCTGTGACCCCCTTCTCAGTCCTCAGCACCCACTTTCTCCCAGCACTGCTCCCGCGGAGCCGCGATGGGCGGCAGCCTTTGCACGCCTCCCTCCATTCTCAAGCCCCAGGCAGCCCCGGAGGTGGGCGGTGGGGCGACTACAGAGGATCAGACCTTGGATGGGCCCAGCCTGGGGCCTCGCCAACGATAGAGAGGCGGATGAACCGTCTGTGGAGAGAATAAACTAGCGGTGACCAGAGAGCCGAGCGTAGTAGTTCAGGGGCCGCCAGGTCGTACCTCCAGGCAGCGCGCACCAGCGGGCGGCGACCCAAAGCAAGGACCGGACTGTCCTCCTCCCTCCCCGCCCTAGCGCTCCCTTCCCGTCCTCGGCCCAGCCCAATTCCCTACTTCGCGCGTCTAAAAACTGTTCTCGCAGTTTCCGCGCCTCTTCGCCGCTCGCGTTCTCCACTCTGTGTCCCGAGTCCCCTGCCAACGTCCCCCACCCACCAACCTCAGTGCTCCTAGCGGAGGGGACCGGATCAGCGGGCGGAGCAGCCAGGTGAGCCCTGAAAGGTGGGGCGGGGCGGGGGCGCTCCGGGCCCCACCCCGGGATCCGGTGACGCCGGGGCTGGAATTTGACACCGGACGGCGGTGGGCAGGAGGCTGCTGAGGGATGGAGTTGGGCCCGGCCCCCAGACACGGCCCACGGGCTCCGCCAGCAACAGGTCCTTCGGGCCCCAGCCCTTGCTGCGACCCAGACCCCAAGCCCTGCACCCGCGGTAAGGTGGCCCGCTTGCCCATCCCTTCGTCCCAGCCTGGCTGGGTGCGTCTGGGGCTCGAGGGAGTGGGTAGGATGGTTCCCCTCCACTCCCCTCCTTGCATCCTCCCTCTCCTGGGCCCGTCGCAGCGCTCTCCGCCCCTCCCAACCCCTTCAGTCCCCTCTTGTCGCTTGTCAGACTGCGCTATCCCGGTCCGCCCTCTGTAACGTGAGGATCCCGCTGCCGCTACAGGGCGCAGACTGGCTGCCAAGGCCGCGCTTTTGGCTAAAAGAGGCGCTGCCAGGTGCACAGCCCTGGGCATGAGCCATTTGAGCTGCAGGGAAAAGCCCGGCACAGGTTCTGAGAAAGTTGCCTAGAAGAACACACCGCAGGGTCCCCTGGTGAGTAGCGGGCTGGTGGGCGGGGAAGGCAAGGGCTGGAGGACCAAGGGGCCCCAGAGGGCCAGGAGGGAGGGGAAGCTTGAGCTGCTCTGAAGGGACCTGCTCCGGAGCTCCCCCTGGTGCAGAGGGCTGTTAAGGCGTTCTTGCACAGACCTCTCACCTGATCTCTCCGTCACTGAGAACTGGTCACTGACTGGCCTGGCTTGCAGGACCCTGTATCCAGTTAGCTGAGATGTGCACATCTGGCCCTGGAGGACCACACCAGGGAGGTCTGGCCCACACAGGCATTCTGTGTGTTGGGTGGAGGGTTGGGGAGTGACAGCTGGGACCCAAGAGCAAGCCAGCTAGTGAGAGCTTTTGAGGACTTCCAGGGCTCCAGAGGGGTGTTTGGGAGTGCCCGCCAGTGGAGGCTCAGGAAGGCTGGTGAGGCTTCGGAAAAGCTGGCTTATGGGGGAAACTTCTAGAGCAGGGCTAGGCTGCCAGATACACAGGAGGCTGGAAAGGAATCAGTTCTGATTGGCTCAGTCCTAGGTGACCAGGCTGAGCTACCTCACTGGCCCTACTGGGAGTGGCTCAGGCCTAGCGAATCCGAGGGTATGGAAAAGCCCAACCCCTCTTTGAGTCTGCGGTCTTGGCACATGCTGCCCCCTGGTGGCCCTAGGAAGCCATGGCCCAAGACCCATATTCTCTGAGGGCCCATCAATGCCGCCATGCGGTGGGAGGATATCTGTGGTGGGAAGAGTGAATTTGGGGCTCTGGGTCCAAAACAGAGGTCACAGAAAAGCAGGGTTCTGAGGTCTGGGCCTCACTGTCAACTAGTATTCATGGTGACCAGCAAGCACCATGATTTTTCTCTAGGCCTCAGCTTCCTCCTCTATGGCATGGGGTGCAGGCGCTCTATAGAGACCAAGAGTGCCCAGCTGCTGCCTTCTCCAGTCAGCTCTGGCACCCCCAGCCCTGCAGCATAGAGCAGAAGGGTGCTGGGAAAAGGAACCTCCTAGCTGTGCACTTCCAGCCTTGGGACCTCGGACAATTGCTGAGCGTCTCTGAGCCATGTTTGCTCCATTGGGAAATGGGAGTTATACTATCGCAGCATATGAGGCTTGAAAGAAGGAACAGCTGCAAAGCACTTCACACACTGTAAAGTTCTCAGTGCAGCAACTTATCCTCCTCCTGGGTGGAGTCCAGCTATCCAAGCCCCTTACCCTCATCTGGAGAAACTGAGACGGACAGATGTCCTGCTAAAGAGATACTTCATCTCTCAATGGTCCCAGCTGCCTCAAGAGGAGGGTGGGGGAACAGGTCGACAAAGGCTGACAAGAGCCCCTGATATTGATAGATATGGAGCCCGGACTTGGAGGCCCTTCTGTGCTACCCCACTGCCCCAAGCCTAGGCAGCAGGTGAGTGGTTCACCCAGGGACTCCCACCTGGTGTTGGGGAGAGATGGGCTTGATTGGGGAGGAAGTGTGAGACTTGGCCTGGGCAGGGGTCGGATGTGGACGGGGAACGGTCAGGGAGGGGCTGACAGTGCAGGAGAAGGAGCCCGACTTCTCTGGATGGTCAGCTGCCTCAGGTGACCCCTCTTCTGGGCTTCCGAGGTTGGCAGACACTTATCCTTGAACCTAAATCTCCAACTAGAAGTCCATTCTCTTTCTGATCTCTGCTGCTCCAGTCTTTCCCTGAGTTCCCCCACCCCGAATCTCTTCTCTGAGGCTCCGCTTTGTCCCTCTGCGCAGTCCCCCATGTGGCCGACCCTGGCCGCCCTGGCCCTGTTGAGCAGCGTTGCAGAGACCTCCCTAGACCCGGCGCTCCGCAGCCCCGCCACCCGCGAAGGGCCTGCGCCCGTCCTGGCTTCCCCCGCCGGCCACTTGCCGGGTAGGTGAGAGGACGAGGGCGCGGGGGCAGGGCTGGCTCGGGACACCGCGCTTGACTCCGTCTCATTCCAGGGGCACGCACAGCCCGTTTGTGCGGCGGAAGAACCCGGCGGCCGCCGCCCCCACCGCCCCG